GTGAAGAAGTATTGTACTTCCCATTTCTCTTGAAAGCGGCGGCCCTCACTGTCAACTTTTCTTGTTTTCTTTGCAGTTGCCATGGCAGCAATGAGCGGAGAACGGTTCGCGGCACCGATGCAGAAACTGATAGTATTAAAGTGGTGCTGCCACCACTTGGTGAAGGGAGGAATTACAGTTTTAAATTTGAGGATTTATTTATTCTGTTTGAGGGGCGTGCCATAAATAATACATTAAAAAAACGAAGCTGCGGGCCGTATGAAATCTGGCCGCGGGCCGTGATTGGCCCCCGGGCCGGACTTTGGACATGCCTGCACTAACCTGTCAAAATTCAGTTAAAGTTTGGGGTCGTTGTTTTTATCCTTGTGGTATCGAAAATGCTATCGAGTATCGAATATTGTCCTGAGTATCGGTATCGAGTTGGAAATGTTAGTATCGTGACAACCCCACATTTTGGGGTACACGGGCGGTAGCATCCTGTGGGACGCCGTGCCTTTTTTACTCCACCAGAACAGCAAAGACGAGACAGGAAAACATTTTAAAAAAGAAGAAGAAAATGCATCGAGAGGACAAATGCAAACAGAGGAGCCACATGGTATAAAAAGATGGCGCACAAATACGATTAAAACCGAGAGCCGTCCACAAACTTCTCCTTCAACTCTACGAGGCTTTGGGAGGATCTCCAGTGTGAGCCCGAGCACCTTTAGCCGAAACTAGTCAATTTCTCCCTGGAGATCAATAAAGTATATTCAATCAATTCAATCAACTACCGGGAATCCACTGGACCGCTTTTGTTTGTGTGTGCGATTCTGAACCCGGATCGGGCTCGTTAAAAAGCGCCCGACACTCAGAGTAATGCTCCGGCTCCCAAACGGCTTTGGACGAGGACAGGGGTGGAAATGTGTGTTTGTTTTTCTTAGCGCGGGGATAAGACCTTGTGGGCTTACTATGGAGAGCTGCCCGGCCCTTCCTCCTTCCTCCTCCTCCTCTTCCTCCTCCTCCTTCCTCCTCCTGTCATTAGCCGGGACATCGCTTGAGCTCTCACGTGGT